TTTGTCAACGGGAGTTGTGGTTGGCCCCGTCCTCGCTTGTGCAGGGAGCGCAGCCGATCAGTTGCAGTGAGGGCGCCCAGCTGGAAGGCGCCGAGCAGGAGGACGCCGTCATGGGCGCTTGGACGGCGTCCTGGGAGGCTGGACGCCGACCTGGGCGTCTAGACGGCGTCCTGGGCGCCTGGACGCCGACCTGGGCGCCTGGACGGCGTCCAGGGAGGCTGGACGCCGACCTGGGCGCCTGGACGGCGTCCAGGGAGCCTGGACGCCGACCTGGGCGTCTGGACGGCGTCCTGGGCGCCTGGACGCCGACCTGGGCGCCTGGACGGCGTCCAGGGAGGCTGGACACCGACCTAGGCGCCTAGACGTCGACCAGGGGAAGCCGACTTGGTGTGGTCGGCTGACAGGTGTGCTGGTCGACCTGGAGTTGGTCGACCAGGAGGGTTGTCGACCTGGAGCTGGTCGACCAAGGTTGTGGTCGACCTGGTGAGGACGACTGAAGGTGGTCGTCGACTTGGGAGGTCGACGGGCACATACAGGAGCAGCTGGTCGACGTGGTTGCCCGGTCGACCAGATTACCTGGGTGACGAGGTTCTGCGGAAGTGTGCGACGGTTGCCCAGGCGATGTTGGCGAGACCGACCTCGGTGGTGGTATCCCGAGGTCGACGTGGCGGATCAGGTGGAGTCGTTAGCACGAGGATGACTTGGTGTGTGCGTTGTGCAGGTGACGAGGCTCAGCACGCCAATCATCTGCGCGCACCTGCGAAGCCGGTGCGCTGCTGTTCTGCGGGAGCAATGCTAGCACGCCGTCGACCTGCAGCGTTGGCACGCCGTCGACTTTGCACTGCTGGAGCGTGGTCGACCAAGTCGTGCTGGAACGCGGTCGATCATGCTGCGCTGGCAGTCGACCGACCTGAATGCTAGCTCTGATGTAGTCTTGCCTTGCCAACCTGAATGTACCATTGTAGTCAATCTTCTCTAGTGAAACTCTTGCCAAATTGCCCTGTGAACTAGCAAGCAGTGTGTGCAATAGGAAAACGACTAAGGACCAACGAACGTAGAGATCACACGAGCACCCGTGCCTAGCCCGTAGTCTAGCTCCCGTTGTAGTAGTTATCTTCGCAAGCTCCTGGTAATAGGTCGACATGATCGTGGTGAAACTGCTGATCTCCTTCTGTGCCCTCGTCCAGTTGATTCCTGGGGGCGGGGTGTGAAACAGAAACGGTTATAATGAGATGACGAGCTGTTGTTTGAAAGTTAACATACTCATGCAACCAACTAAACATATGGTGACACAAACAACATCGACAACTCAATCAAGCACAGACATACAGGAAGACGTACCAGGCAGGGTGTCAGGGTCGGACGGTTTGCGCTTAAACAGGTTTCGGAGAGCCTCCAGCGACTACAAAAACCGACGCTGCCGCTTCGAGTGAGATTTCGGGTACGCCCCCTACGTGAACAGCTTGGCGCCGTCGAGAGAGCCCAGATCCTTCATCCGGCTCTCCAGTCGCTTCAGCAGCTCCTTCACGTACCCCTTCGCCAGTGCGATGCAGTCATCCAGGCCCGGGCCAGATTTCTGACCTGCAATTTTTTTTTCATGGAGGGTGTACTCATGAGTAGTCGGCGTCCCGGTCGAGTCAGTGCCCGTCACCTTTACTTCCCTCTTTTCCGACGAGGCATGCTTCGCCAAGAAGGCGCTCAGCTCGTTGCTCCCATCTCCGAAGTCGTCCGCGTCACTCAGGTAACGGTTGCGGAGGGCGAGCCTAGTGTTGTCCACCATCTGCAGCACGTGCGTCACGTCGACCTGCCACACACACATGAGAGGCAGTGGAAAGGCATGCACGGGTCAATATTCTTAATAACACGGTTCATCTACACAATAGAAACCACTCAACAGCAAGAGGCGTAACAACGTACCTGCCGTCGCTGGAACTTGAGGTTGAGTGCGTTGAGCTCCTTCAACACATCAGCCAAGAAAAAAAGTAGGAAATGGAATTTCAAACTAGTTACAAGGCTGTAAGCCTTCTGGTCGTTCTCGTACAACAGAATGACAGCAGCTGGAAGGTTGTCAGCTAGACGCTGAAAGCCACCTGACGCTGTGGATGCCCTGCAACTCCAGGTTGGTGTCACAGAGCACCTCATGCAGCTCTTTGAAGCGTAGGTGGGTGTTGCCCGACCGTCCAAGTAGCTCCGCTAAGGATCGGACGACATGGTCGACGATGTCAAGGTCGGGGTAGGCCTCAGCTGCATCCTTTGCCGCCAAAGCTTCCCTGACACAAAACAGAAAAGGCAAGTAGTTAGATAAACAGGCAACGTATAAATGGTAAGCATAAAATCAGAGGGTTACAAACCTGTGCGCGATGCAGTGGAACCCGACGAGGTGTGGAATCCGTGTTCGAAGGCGTGCCACCAGGCCTGTCTGAGAACCGACCATTACACTTGCACCGTCGGTGCTGATGCCACTGATGAGCTCAAGGTCAATCCCGGTAGACTCTAGGTGGGTTAGAAGGACTGCCTGCAGGGAACCAGCATCACACTGCTCAACTGTTAGGTGCGCGAAAAATCAGTGACGGGCGTGTTGCTGCGGAGGAACGACAGGTAGACGATAAGGTGCTTCCCGCGCCGACGGTCCGTGCTCTCGTCAAATTGAATGCCCAGGTAAGGACTCTCCCGGATGTGCTTCATCTGTTGAGCACGGAGGTAGATGACGAGGTTCTCAACCAACTGCGCGAACCCGTACCTGCAACGACCAGAGAGAAGGTAATTAGTACCGTGGTTTTAAACTGGCGGTCTGCAAAAATATAGCACTTACTCGCTGTAGTACGTGCCGGAATCCTTCAGGGGCATGTCGGGCGTGCCCATCTCTGCCATGAACTGGACCAGGGTCACAAACAGCACAATGGGTGAGTCGCTTCTGCAAATAAAAATAACTGTTGCCATGAGTTTAGCAAAACGGTTGGCTTCCCCGTCACCGTTTTCGAAGTCGACAATCGACTTCTGAGCAGCATTCTTGCCGTCACGTAGCTGTTGGCGGTCCACTGACGCCTCATGCTTGATTGAATGCTGATGTTTCCTCATCGTCTATGTCGTTGAATGTCGAGCCCACCCTCCCCGTCGCGGCCGTACTGGTAGCTGGGGTCTCCGTGCACCATGCAGATGGAGCACCCCATACAGGGTTGACCCCATGAGGTCTGCGAGATGATGAGCCACGGGAAGTGCTTGAGCCATTTCTCCTTTGCCTTCTCCTGCCACTGCTCGACGTTCAAGGCGCGGGGATACTTGTCGTTCTCGACGGCGGCGACGGGTTTTGATGGGCCTGGACGAGGTGTGCTAAAGCGGGGGACGGTAGCTGGGGGGACATCTGGAGTGGGACGGGAAAAACTGAGGATTCATTGTTTGTATTTGCCGTTCCCTGCTCTAATGCGCGAAACAAAGATCGCAGGTAGAGTGGTAGCCACAGATGCCGAAACGGGCGGCGGCGAGTATTCAGCTTCAGCCGTGCTAGGCTGGGTCGAGTTCTCTGCCGCATCTGACGTGCACTGCGAGGGGATAAGAGGCTCGTTGTTGCATGATGTAATGACGTTGGGGGGAGGAATTACAGGCGGAGGCGTCTCTACTGCGGCAGTTGTGGTCACAGGAATCGCGGCCGGAGCTTTACGCGTTAAGAAATCTAACGCAGATACACGAGGCTCCTCAGGTACCGCGGGTGAATCACGCCTAGCGCTGTCGGTTGACTCGAGGGCGCCAGGTTCGGATAGCATTGTGTGGTGTGGTGAGTCGCATGAGGCAGTAACAACAAAGCCACTCTAGACGGGACGGGAACAAGCTAAGGGGAGAGAGCTAAGCCACGGGCTAGGCGTCACGTCATGGATTGAAAGACAGAGAGGACGGTTGTCAAAGAAAGGCTTGGAAAAGAAAGGGGGGGAAGTGACCATCTTGTCACGAACCGCGCCTCTCTCACGAGGGTTTCACGAAAGTGCAATGGCGGGTGCATGCTTTGTTTGTTGTGCACCGACTGTCCTGCACTCTGCCAGCGAGGGGGGGGGGGGGGGGGAACAGCCTGGCAGCAGCGCCGACAACAGCTACCCGACAGATGCGTGGCAGCAACTGAGTCAGATGCAGAATGAGCTGGCAGGAAGAATCCGAAATTGACCCCCGTGCCCTCACGCAAAAATCATTACGCGTGATCACACATGCAACACATCGCTGCTCCAATGGCCAACTGGGCCATTTTGTCTCTTTCAGACGAAACAATACGCGATTTCTGCCTGATCAGACGAATTGCTATAAGTTTCCTGAAAAAACATATGACGATATAGCCTTTGTCTGGGCTCTCATATGGCCCATAAGCAAAAGTCTGCCGAAGCATATGAACTATACAATTCATGCCTGAAACCTAGACCAACAGACTAAAATAGTCTGCTAACGAGGGCCCTGGCGAGCACGTTGGGGATCACCACTTCTTCACTTCCAAGCTTGTACATGGCTTCGTGCATCTTTGAAGGGATGGTAGTCTTGCCACATATAACCTGTTACAAATCATGTAACCAGGTTACGAACACAATCGTAAAATATAAATTAAAACAGAAGAGCAGTTTCCGCATACACGATGTGTAACTGTTTTTTGTTAATGTTACCAGGTGGTAACAGTAGTGCAATCTTTCCCCAGGCATACTATCGCAAGATACTTCAAAGAGTATCGCCGCACCGAACTGCTAGGAATCGAGAAGGCACGCGTCGTAACTACGACGAGGACCACATTCACGAATCGCGAGTAGGTTTTTCTTCTCAGCGCGGCGAGGCCGCCGCCGCTAGCGCTCAGCGACTACTAGCGGGTTTGTGGGGACGGCCTTAGCAATGTCTCGGCATGCTGTGGCGGCGAATGCGTTTCAGCCCACGGCTTCGGGCTGTTTTTGGTGAACGATCGATAACCTTATCGGCGCGCAATTCGGGAATCTAGCTTATGGGGGAGTGAATCGCGAATGTGAAGGACGCTCCCAATGTCATTCGCGTTACTTCTGTTACCTACTCCAGCATTCGCGTTCTGCAGGGGCGAAACTCCCACCGGCGGCGCATTCGCGTACCGTTTCCCCTCGCGCGCCCCGTCGGCAAACACACCACACCCTCCGCCAGCTCTTCCCGTGCGCCCGGTCGACGGGAGGGGAAGGGTTGGCCGCCGAGGCGTGTCCTTCTTCGCGCACCCTCGCCAGCTCCCCCTCCCATCGCCACCCAGGTCAATGTCGCGTCCGACCACATTCCATTCCGTTCACCCTCATCTACGTCGTCCACGCTTTCCCTCGATGATCCACGCCCACTACGGCCCATTGCGTCGGCCACGCGCACGCCATCGCCGCCCTTTCTTCCGTGTGAGCGATTTTTGAGAATTCTCTAAAAGCCCTCCCATCGCCGCCTTCCGCCGCCTTCCATTCCCGTCTCCTCTCCACCCAGTGGAGTTTCCGCTCCCCGTCGCCTCTCCTCCCGTCGCCTCTCCTCCCCGTCGACACTCCCCCCCGTTCCCCACTTGATGTCTTCCTTTCTATCATTCCTCCTCCATCCCTTTCCCCCCTCCTCCCTTCCTCCCCGCCTTCCCTTCTTTCCTTCCTCCAATTCTCCCTTACCTCCCTCGCTTGCTTCCTTACACCCCGCCTCCCGTCCTCCCTTCCCCCTTTCCTCCCTTGCCCCCATTCTTCCTTTCTTCCGTTCCTCCCTTCCCCCCTTCCTCCCTTCCTCCCTTCCTCCCTTCCTCCCTTCCCCGCTTCCTCCCTTTCCCCTTTCCGTCACCTCAGGCTCCCTTTCCCCTCCCTTTCCCCTCCCTTTTATTTACGTTGCCCATTCGCAGATCACTTACATCCCCTATCATTCCGTGCAACATCTTTCCTCCACGTCGCCGCACACCCTTCTCCCCACGGTCGCACGCTCTCCTTCCACGCATAGACACTCCACATGCTGCTTTCTCATCCCTCCTTTTGCGAAACACTATCACTTCTGCAGTACAATTAGGTGAAGGTTAGACTTCGTTCTAAACCGCACGCACCGTCATGACGCACACTCACTTCCATGGCGTTCTAATCCCTTCCCTGGATTGTCCTATTAACTTCCATGCCTCCCACGCTCATTTTGTGCTTCCATTTCTCAATAAGCGCCTTTGCCTTTCCGCGCGTTGTTCTCTCTAATTCCGCAGCTCGCAATTTCAGTGGGGCGGGTGTTGGGAGATGTCGCCAGTGGACGGGCTGCCAGTGCGTGACACTGCTGCGAGGGCGTGTCGCTTACTTACCTGCTGGACCGCTGCGAGTTATGAGACGATTTTTGAGTCGACTCATCACACGACTCAAAAATCGTCTCATCACATGCTGGACCTCTGCGAGTTCCTCGAATCCGACCTGCTTGGGGCGCTCTTGGCTTGGGTCGGGGTGGGGTTACACTCGACCGCGGCATTCCGCAGGTGCTGAGGGGTTAGTGGTGGGGACAAGGTTTGTGCGTGAACGAACGCTATGTGTGTCCGTGCATGTGCGCCGGCGTGGCCGCTTGTTGCTGATTGGCTCGTGTGCTTTGTGCTGATGTGTGAGTGAGAGCACGCGTGCTCACATCACACACACAATCACACATACACAGGCCTATACACCCACCCATTTAATCTCTTGTTATAGGTGCTCATTTCTGTTCCTCTTTCCCAACCGCCCTCCCACTCTCACTTCCCCGTTCTTCCGCTCTCGCACTCCCCCGTCGTACATCCGGCCCCTCCCCCCCCCCCCTTGCCCGTGCTGACGCCCGACCCGACCCCAAGGCAAGGCGGCATTGAAGATAGTATGGGAGAGACGACGAGAACGAGCGAGTCGGAGTTCCTCTACTCCCCCCTTCCCCGTGCTGACGCCCGACCCCAAGGCGGCGCTGAAGTTAGTATCGAAGACGACGATGAGAGCGAGCGAGTCGGAGTTCCTCTACTCGCTCTCCAACTACTGCAGCCTGCAGCCTTCTGCCTGCGGCGCTGAGGATAGTATCGGAGAGACGGTAAGAGCGAGCAAGTCGGAGTTCCTCTACTCCCCCCCACTCAGGTGCTGACGCCGGACCGCAGGGCAAGGCGGTGCTGAAGATAGTATCGGGGACGACGATGAGTGACGACCAGTTGGGGCTGGGGAGACGATGAGTGAGGACCAGTTGGGGCTGGGGAGACGATGAGTGAGGACCAGTTGGGGCTGGGGAGACGATGAGTGAGGACCAGTTGGGGCTGGGGAGACGATGAGTGAGGAGTTCCTCTTCTCGCTTACAGCGCCTCAACTACTGCAGCCTGACGATAGTATCGGAGAGACGATGAGTGATTTTTGAGAATTCTCTACGATTTCTGAAGAAAATCGCACAAGAGTTCCTCTACTCTCTCTCCAACTACTGCACCCTGCAGGGCAGGGTACGTACGTGGTGGAGTTCCAGTTCAGGCTGGGCTGGGCCTCATAGCGCCCAGTTCGGGCTGGGCTTCATAGCGCCCAGTTCGGGCTGGGCCTCATAGCGCCCAGTTCGGGCTGGGCCTCATAGCGCCCAGTTCGGGCTGGGCCTCATAGCGCGCGCTGTCGAGGAGGAGAGCAGAGCAGAGCATCGCGGGTGCGCTGGTCATGATCATGGGCGGCCGCCGCCCGCCCGGGCATGGCCGTGTGCGAGCCGAGCGCCTGTTCCGCCGGCGCAGTTTGAGATCTCAAAGCCGCATGCAGGTGCTGGTGGACATGCAGGTGCTGGTGGACATGCCGGTGCTGGTGGACATGCCGGTGCTGGTGGAGATCGAGAGCGGCAGAGCGAGATGAGCCTTGAGACAGGGCCGGCACCGCTTTGAGCTCTTCATGGGGCACGGCATGGGTGCAGCCACCACGGGTGATGAGCCTATCAGTGCGAGGACGGCATATGTGTTGGCCAAGGCGGGGGGGCGCATTGCGCATGGGCTCACAGTGTTTGGGTGCTGCCTGCGCTGCGCCAGCACAACCACGTGAGAGTGGCAGGGGCATTGGGGCGTGGCGTGGTGACGTGTGGTGTTGCTCTGTGTCAGTGTCACTGCACGCCACGCACAACACGCATGTGATGCATGTGTCCCCGTTCAAGCTGCAACCATGCCATGCCATGCCATGCCATGCCATGCCCAACTACCCTCTCACTGACCCATCCCCTTGACCAACCATTTCCTCCCAAAACTATTCCCTCCTCCTCCACCACCAGGTGAAGGAGCTGCTCCGGTGGCTGGCGCGGCCAGAGCACGCACGCAGCGACGCGCAGTGCGCATGACAACCTGCTCCCTGGGATGACATCCTCCTAACAACCTGCTCTTTTCAGATGCAAGCTGGGCCTATGCCGTGGTGACGAGCGTGGAGGCGGCATACGGCATTGCGCTGAACAGTGAGGCTCCACGGCTGTCAGTGGACTCGCTCTTTACAGTCATGGGGCTCACCTCCCCAGCAGCCAAGTGCACCATAGGGAACTCCCCTGCTGCGGCCTTCGAAAAGCTCCTCACTCTTCCCCGTGGTGGACTCACAACCGACAGCAGGCCAGTATGAACGATGTAGCCAATAGGAACAATTCATAGACAGCACATAGACAGCACCATTGTTACCCAGCAAGCATGTACAAGCGCAACTGAGTGACGAAACAGTGACCTTCAGAACAGCACCATTGTTACCCAGCAAGCATGTACACGCAGTCTAGAGTGGACCGTGTATTGCATGACGTTGTTGGCTCTACTACTCGACGTTGCTATTGACGTGTCCCCTAACTTGTCTCCTTTCTATTTCCTTGTTCATTCTTCTAGCCTTCCCACAACAACTCTGCTGTGTAAAGCAGGTACTTCATCTCCCAATGACTCTGGTGTGCTTGTGATCTGCAGATTTCAAAGTACCCCATCCAAGGGTTTGAGCGCACACAGTTCAAGGGGTATGTGGGGCTCATGCTGGCAGTGAGGCGGCAACCAGTGGTGGTTCACATCGAGGCCTCTGCTGCCACGTTCATTCAATATGACGGGGTGGGTACTCTATATGTAGTAATCTGATCCTCCTGTGGTGGTGTGAGCATCCGTATTGACATCCTATGGGAGCATGCCCAGTGGGTGCTTCAACAGTTATACATATGTTCCCTGTTCCATCACTTATGGAACCACAGCCAATGGCCACATGCCTCCTGCATCGTTATCCAACAATTGGCTGCCATTTTCTCCCTCTTCTCTCTCGTCCAGACCTTCAAGTATCAGGACCCCTCTTGCTACACCGGCAACCTTAACCATGGTGTGCTCGTCGTTGGGTACCTCATTTCAACAAAAGATGGTCGCGAAAGCCCGAGTGTACCGCCGTTTTGGATCATCCGCAACTCGTGGGGGCTAAAGTGGGGCGACAGGGGGCATATGCGCGTGGACATTCAGGGAGGAGATGGCGTTTGTGGCATCAACGTGCTGCCTGGCATCTACCCCATCGTCAAGAGTAAGGCATCTGTCCCATTTTGCGGTATACCATTAGCAAAGAGCTATGATATACCCGCGATGAATTATTTCAGGCCACTTCAAGAAAATTGTGTTTGTGGGTCTGTGTATACTAGAAGCTTCTCAAAATACCTCACTTCCCCTGACCTTATCATCGTGAATTTCCAGTTGTGGCCAAAAGAGCCTCAAGGCCGACGGAGACGCGCAGCCCAGCATGAACCCGTGCGGTCGCTTCACATGCCGGCCCAATGCAAAGACCAACAGCAACACGTGCAACTGCACCATACCTAATGAAGCCAATCAGCCCTTTGTCGAAGTGGCAAATGGACTGGGCTCCAGCACTTGTGCATATGGTGAGTCATGCTCGTGTACAGAAGTTAATCTTCAGCCCACGTTTTACACCTCATCGCATTCAATTGCTGTGTATGTTTACTGAAGTGGAACAGCTACCATTTTTTTTTTTTTTTTCTTTTATTATCAAACAATTCCATCTACAGAAAATTGTCTTGCGTGTTGCAATTCATCCATAATAACGCATTCTCCGCTCCCCATGTCCACTATACAGTTGATATGTGTGGATCTTACGCCATGAACCCCTGCGCTGCCGGTACATGCATAAACGATGGCAAGGGAGCCTACTCCTGCATCTGGCCTTCCAACTACATTGAGAGCAGAACCGCTGACAACTTCCATACCTGTGACCCAGGTGCTGCTCATTTGCATCATAACATTGCGTTTGATGCATTTTGGTGGGTTCTTTGTCAAGACGTGAACACTATTAGTTACAATGACAGGAAAGCCTTCATTTTCGCCTTTAGATGACCGTCTAATGCTCCTTTCCTCTGCAACTTCACGTCCCTGCATACCAACTTCTTTCTTCCTCCCAGCCAACACCACAGCCTCCACTTTGGCTGTCACTGGGGCCAACTGGTGGTGCACCGATGTATTACCTGCTGTTGGCCTCGCTTTGGCCAGCCTCCCACAGCAAAGCATGGTGAGATGGCCAGAAGTTCATTGCATGAAACTAGGCGTGCAGTGCCACTGTAGGTGTGTAATGATGGGGTTTTAGGATGTTCTGTTCTGAATATCAACACGATCATGTTCATCAGACAATCGTATCCATTGCCATCTCTCTAATGTGTTGCAGACCGTTAACTGCAGCCAGCCATTGCCTTTGGGCAAGGTGATTCAGTTGGGCAGCACTGCCACCACCACTCCTTGCACTTCCTTCTTCTATGCCCTCGATGTGAGTCTGTCGTTCCTAGGCATCAATTCACTTCAAGGGGATGCAAGAAGGAACAAACCTCCACCACGGACTTCCTCCCCTCAGCATCACACACACCCTCCACCAGCAGCAGCACATTTTTTTTTTACGATTACAGCTATTGCCTCAGTGTACTTTGTGTTCCTTCAACAAGCCACCTTTGCTTTCTCTCCCCGCGCTATATTCTCCAGGGGGACACCTGTGCCTCTATCAGCACCCAGTTGGGACTCACATTGACTGACCTTTTCTCTCTCAATCCCGGCCTGAACTGCTCGGAGCCCATCAAGCTGGGCCGCTCTCTGTGCATCGAGCGCAACACCACTTTAGCCTACACCATCCCACAGTGCTTGCGGTACGGCATGCTCACAGCACAAGATACGTGCGAGGGCCTGCTGCTGCAGAGCATGCAGTCTAGTGAGGATGAGGCCGCAGGTGCTGGAGTGGTGACTGCAGCCAGCTGGGCTGAGCTCTACCGCAACAATCCTGGCCTCATATGCCCCTGCACCATCACTGCATCTAGCGCCACTGCTGCCACTATGACCAGCGTGCAGGTGAGGAAATGGGATATGTATGGCCGTGAGGTCTATAAATATACCATTCATTGCATCCATTGTTCTTTAAAAATTTTCCCTGCATTGTGTGTGCACCATCCATGCCAGATATGCCTCAAGGCAGACTACGAGTCCTTGAGTTCTCACAGCTGCAAGATCGGTAGGCTGAAGGTGGTGTCACCAACACTGACATGTGCTGGAGCTTTAAGCTACTACGGTGGAACTAAGCCAGGAGCAATCACAAAGTTCTCTGATTACAATGGTAGGACATGCTCAGGAAGTGTCGGATTGAACTATCTCTGTGTGCCATAGTGAAACCAAGTATGACTTTACATACCTTTTCTCCCCATTGAAAGCACCATAGTATAGGTTCTATCAGACTCAGTAGAACCGTGGAGGCCGGCTATAGTTTTTAGGCCCGTCTGAAAACCAGATCAAGAATTTCGTCCCCGTCTGAGCATCAGGGCCCAAAATTGGTTTAGGCCCACCCTGACAAATCAGGGTTCAAGGCCCCCCGTACCCTGACCCTTAGGGTAAAAAAAATCGTACCCTGCTGGAAACAGCCTAACAAATTCCAGACACTGATTCTGCAAGGGTAAAATAGCAGTTAGGCTGTTTGCAATGTATTGTTCACATGTAATACACACGCAGCAACGACTGTACAGAGTACGAAATCAAAGCGGAGGGCTGTGTTGGAATGATAGAGTACGAAATCAAATCAATTTCGTGGGG